TTTGAAAGTTTCCTCTCAGTGTTATTAAATACAGCAGCCACTCGGCTGAGAACACGCTAACACACCAAGGAAGCGTGGAGAATGTCGTATAACCCAGAAGAGGGAAGCTCTCTATGTAATTGTTCTTTGACTACATGAGTCAAAATGACTCGCAGGGAAATAGAATCATCTTTTAAGGCATCTTCCCCAGACACCGTTTTGAATCCACACAATATTATCCTAACAAGGTGGGGTGAATGTAACGCCCTGTGATGTTTCCTTTGCGTAACTTGGTCTTACGTCTATCCATGCAATTATGAAAATAGGTCTTTGAAGGGTTTGAAGCAATCCAGGCGAATGCTTTTGGTGGTGGAGATGATAAATTTAAATTTCTTGCACTCGGGACGTTGTAGCTGAAAGGTGCTTTCTAAAGCCTGGCTCTTAGGACAGTTAACACCCAGTTAGGTGTTTCTAACGTCTTTGTCATTAGGGTCCGGGTTTAGGGACGTGTGAGTTTATGAGAAAACTGGACATCTGCTGCGTTGAGCTGTGCACCTGCGTTCTGTATGGGTCGACTTCCTTTTATTTACGTGCCAAGGAAAAGTGGCCAGTCACATCGAGCTAGATGAGATATCTCCCGGCAGAACCACTGACATGAGGTAGTACCGTGTTTCCCCGAAAAAGAGAATACGAAGGAAGAAGGAAGAGGAAGGAGAAGAAGGATAGGAAAAAGGAAGAAGGAGGGAGGGCGAGCGAGGGAGGGAGAGGAGGGGAAGGAGAAGGAAAGGAAGGAAGGAGGAGGGAGAGAGGAGGGAGGGAGGGAGGGGAAGGAAGGAGGAAAAGAAGGAAGGAAGGAAAAAGGAGGAAGGAGGAGAAGGAAGGAAGGAAGGAAGGAAGGAAGGAAGGAAGGAAGGAAGGAAGGAAGGAAAGATCTTCCTTATTTTGAACCACAGTCCAGTCTTCTGCATGTTCTCCACACACATCTCGGCGGTTGTCATTGATCTCTGGATCAACACCAAGTCTCTCTCCTCTGTCCATGAAAGACTAATTCGGAGCCGGCCCAAGCCTGCCCTTTTCCAAGCATCCCCTGACAGCCTCCTCACACACAGGACGTGGATTCCTAGCCTTCATCCCGGCTCCACCCGAGCCCAAGGTTGGACGCCACACCCCCTGACATCCAAGTCACGAAACGGAGTCAGGCCACCTTGTAACCGGCTACGTCATCATGAACCTCGTTGCGTGTATTTACTGAGGGGCCACGTGCATTAGCGTGTGCATGCGGAATTCTTGACGTGGGAACGTCCACCCTGTCACCACGCGAGTTCCGCCTTACTGATCGGGGTGCATTCGTTCACTCAAGCAAGATAAGCAAAGCAACCTTGAGAACCTTTTGGAGACGAACAGACGGTTCCGCGAGGCAAGAGTGTGCAGCTGGGAGCCGTGTGCCTCTTCTCATCTTACCTTTGGACCGTGGCGTCCCATCCCAGGAACCACCTCATGTCGCAGCGCGCAGGCCAAGGGTTCCCGTGCAGGTAGAGGTTCTCCAGCAGCGGCATGTTCCCGAGCATGCCGGCGGCAGCGTGCGGAGCAGGTTGTCTGCTAGGTAGAGGTTGCCGCACGGTGGAGAGGCGGATAGTGCCCAGGAAGGAGAAGGTGGAGAAGGTGGCCGGGGTGGCAGCCTGCTGCAGCAGGTTGGCCTTCCAGGTGCAGCAGCACCAGGGAGTCAGGCCGCTGAACGCTGCGGGTGGATGAACTCGATCCTGTTGTGGTCACAGTGCAGCCTCGAGCAGGGTGGACGGCCCTGCAGCGTGCGCGCTGAGATCCCCGCAGCTTGTTGTAGCTGAATTGAAAACCTGGCACACAGGCAGACGGGGAGGGGGGAAAAAAGATAAATCCCGTCTGCAGTTTTAGGAAAAAACCCACGGAGAAGGACAGAAACCAGTGGCAAAGGGCTGGAACCGCATGCATTTCAGGCTTGCTTTCGTCCCAAAAAAAATAGTCATTTTATTGATCATTAGGAGAATTAATGAGTTTTGGAGGGGAAGAGAATCCAGCTGTGCAGTTTAGAAAGGCCCACGGTGACGACAGGAACCAGCGCAAGGGCTGGAACCGCCATGGCATTAGGCTTGCTTTCATGCAAGAAAAAAAAATAGTCCTTTATTGTCATTAGGGAGAAATTAATATGAGTTTTCTGGAGGGAAAAGACCAATCCAGTGTGCAGTTTAGAAACCCACAGTGAAGACCAGGAACAGGCAAGGGCTTGGACAGCATGGCAATTAGCTTTGCTTTCATGCAAAACTATCTTTTATAGATCATTGGGAGATTATTCAAGAGTATCCTGTGGTTTTTTTTTTTATTTGAATCTTCAGCATATCTACTAAAGTGAAAACGTCCCAAGCATAGAGTTTTTATTATTATTTTATTCGTGGGTCGTAGAGGATGCAAAATTAGCATGCTCATCGTAACGTGGCGGCCGGGTTTTACCTGCAGGGAGGTGAGATCTCTCAGCAGCTCCATCCGGGATCTTGGGATTCGTTGCCGATGAATCATAGAGCTCCAGCTTGCAGCCCGCAATGAGGTTTCGGACAGGGCCTGTATCGCTATTCAAACCTGCAGAAAAAAGTATAATATAATACCATAATATCAGAAAGGAAAACACGCAGACCTTAATCCCACTGGGAAGGATTGATTCCCAGCTGCCCTTAAGTTAGCAATACTTGTGATTTCTCGGGTTTGCCATGGGGTCATTCCAGAGAACATTCAATCCTTGTGGTCTTCTCTGTCTCTCTGGAGTCAAAAAATGACCATATCTAATCAGTTCCTTCTTCAGTCGGAACATTCACGGAGAATTTCGGCTTGGAGTGTGCTAATGTCAACGGGAGGCTAAGTAGGACGCACGTAGAATCCCAAATGAGGCTGTCCCGTAAGGCTCCTTGTTGGAATCTGTTTTGAAGCGCAACATTATGAGTGACACTCGGCAGCAGGGATGGCAGAAATCTCAGCGGCAGAGAGAGCTTGGCATGGATGTATCCAGAAACGAAAAGCGTTCGGGGTCAAATCAAAGCCCTGACCCTGCCAGACACCAACACCCCCATTTCACAACAAGCACAAGGTTGCGCGCCCGCGACCGTGTCTCGAATGTGGTTTGTAAACATGCTGGGTTCTTTTTTCCCGTTTCTGTTGTCGCATCAAACATCAGTCGAGATGGTTTCTTGGCCAGCTTGGAAATTAGTCTGATGCACGACCAGCCCCACATGTGATCTCGGAGACGGATTGCAGGATGAATGGAGAATCCCACTCGATACCATGTTTCCTGAAAATAAGACAGGGTCTTCTATTGATTTTTCCTCAAGAAGACACCCTGGGGCTTTATTTTCAGGGGATGTGTCATTTTTTTTTTAAGTACGGTACAACCATCTACATTGATTCAAATAGAGTGAAGTCTCTTCTTCTGGAACATCATCCTCACTCTCCAAACCCGAATTCCATCCTGAATGTCTGGCGACTCTATTTCCTTTAGAATCATCAGCCCCGATCTCTCCTGTTGAGCACTAGAGCTCTCATGGGCCGGATGAGAAGGCGCTGCTCGTCTTCTTTCCCGCTCTGCAACAACACGCATGGTTGTGCAGATGCGCTGCGCAGCCACCGCCCGTCATAGGTGATTTTCATAGCCAACGCCAGCACTAGGGCTGATTTTCATAGCCACGCCGTCACTAGGGCTGATTTTCATAGCACGCCATCATTAGAGCTTATTTCATAGCCACACCATGCCACCAGGGCTGATTTTCATAGCCACGCCCGTACTAGGCTGATTTTCATAGCCACGCCCATCACCAGGGCTGATTTTCATAGCCACGCCCATCACAGGGCTGATTTTCATAGCACGCCACCACCAGGTCTGATTTTCATAGCCACGCCCATCTTAGAGCTTATTTTCATACAAACACCTGCCACCAGGGCTGATTTTTATAGCCACGCCCATCACTAGGGGCTTATTTTCAGGTAGGGCTTCTACTGCACACATGCTTGACATCCTGCTAGGGCTTGTTTTATGGGGAGGGCTTC